CACGTTCAGTGATACATTCCCATGCCTCTTTTCAGTACGATCAAGTGCTTGCTGGCCCACTTTCTGCAATTACTTACCTAAAATAGCCGTGTAGCTATAATCATCAGACTATTTTCTGCTATTGAAGCAATATTGCTACTGTTGTGGTTTTGCCACTATGTGCTGTATCAACAGGTAGACAAACCACCATTAAGAATTAGTCATGCCAGAGACAAAAGCTACCAGGCATTCCAGACTGAAGCCAAGCGTGACTCACCAAACTCCAGGCCTCCACTGTATTGCTCGCATAAATCCAATGCCTATTTACGCACAAAAAGCAGTTCTTTCCAAATCTATTCAAATACCAGAAATAAGAGATTATTATGACTTCATGTCATGTTGAAAGACAGGTGGAGGAGAGCACAATGTTTGTGTTGGATTCAAATGTCTGCTGAAATCATTCCTGTCATTGCTAATTGATGTTGCATCTGTCTTTAGATTGTGACTATTGAAAAAAAAAAAAAAAAGCTGAAGATCTTATTCAGAGAAATAATTACAGTTGTACACTGGTAGATATAAAATTAAAGTAGATGGGGGGAAGGGAGCTACGTCCTATAATTTATCAGATTCCTGTGTCCCTGAAAAATAATCAGACGCTGGGCAGCATGCAGGCCCTGCTGCTGAGGCTACTGTCAAGGGGATAGCAGTGGTCAAAAATAGGCCACTGGTTCTCATTTATTCCATCCATTTTTGCTCTTCTATTGTGTTTGGAGTATTAGTTTCCAACTATCTAGAGACAAGGCAGAAAAACAATGGCAGGCTTTATTAAGAGCTGGAGACGTAATCCCCAAGCACGAGCGCAATTGGACAAGTAAGCTGGAGAGAGAAAAAAGGGAATTCTACTTAGGTCTGGCTTTCGGGAATTTCACCCTCCAAAGTCCTTCAGTGTGATATAGTTACAGGCAGCACTAAATCTGCATTACTTTGACAAACTTTCATTGAAGATTATTAGTGGAAGCAGCGTGTGAAGTAGCTCTTTAACAGATGCCTCACATCCCGGTTGTATGGCTTGGGGTTTTTTGCCTTTTTCTTTTTCTTGCTCATTTTCATGATGGCTGTGTGGCTGTCAGCTGAGTCTTTCACAGACGATTTGTAAATTTTAATACAAAGAACCAACTTCATCTGGTAAAAATGTACTCTGCTCCGTGTAAGCCAGACACAAGCTTATATCACATCAAGTCCCCAGACACACACTTCTAGCCACTACACAGCAGAACTGGACTACACTATATGATCTATATTATTACCATACAACATACGTGACTTGACGAGTTTCCATCAGCCAGCGCTCTTGCCAGACACGCTTCCTCCTCTACCTCTATCCCTGCTGCTTTCCTTTATCAAGATACCATCGTCGGCTCTGCATTGGAAGACCCCGCACAACCCAACTGCTTCACCCTCGGGAGGTCTGGGCTTGAGATGTGTCGGGTACCCCCCGTGTCCCAGGTACCCCCCGTGTCCTGGGCACCACTTGCTTTGCCACTTGGTAGTGAACTATCCTGGAAGGGCTCTTAAGGAGAAAGAGCTTGGAACGGCTCTCCCATGTCGTTGTCTCTTGAAAGAGTGCAGTCCTGACTGCTCTGCTGGGTTAAGTTCATTCCAGATTGTGTTTTTCACAGCAATTCAAGGTGTTTAGTACCATTTTTCCTGCCCACCACGTGTG